CGCGCAGGCCCGGAGGCCACACGCCAGCCCCGGAGAGGCAGCAGAACGTGGAGCAGAGCCCCGGCCGCGCAGGCCCCGGGGGCTGCGCAGGCCCAGGGGTCCCGCACAGGCCCCGCCGCCGCCGCGCAGGGCCCAATAATTGTTTTTCACAATGTGCATTTTCCATGAAATTTTTGAAGAGCTCCCTTTTTACATCAGTGACCTTCAAACATTTCTATTTTAAAACAAATTTCAGGGGCCAGCAGGTGGTGTGGTGGTTAAAGCGTTGGATTCCCACATGGCTGATTGATGTTTGAGTCCTGGATCTGGCAGCTTGAAAATCACAAGAAATAAACAGGTGACTGAATAAATAAGTGTTTAAAAATGTTAAAGATCACCCCAATTTTATATATAAATCCCCAATGTGAAGCAGACAAAGACAGGGGTAGCTCTGATTGAACTTGGGGAGGAGCCCAGATTCCCATCTACGCTGTGTTGATTTTGCCCACCATTGAATCGGACGCTGGTAATCTCCTCAGGACACAGCTTCGATGTATTCTTCTCTGTTCTGATATATTCAGTGGTTCACAGACATTGCGATGTAGTCATGACCGGTTGTAACTCATCTTTCCCAGGTTATGTGCTTTTACTCCTTCACCTCAGACTCTGAACTCTACTCTAGTTGAATTGGACTGCTCAGTTTTCTCCAATATCTGCGTTTCTTTCCTCCCTATCTTTGAGATTCCATCATAATTTATGTTTATTTCAATTCTGGCTATTCTTCTGAAGTGACAGTTCCACCAGCATCCATCTCCCTCCTGTTTTTATAGTTCCCTAGTGTATGAGGGAGGCTTCAAACAGTTCATAGAAAATGGAATCGAAGTATGAGTTTAGGGCCAGAATGTGGTGTGGAGGTTAGGGTGGCTGGCCTGGCCTCACCTCAATTCTCAGAGCATGCTGTGCCCTCTTTGGGCATCCACATTCAGCTTTACATTATGGTCAGTGCAAACCTGTGTTTGGCTTGCCCTTGATGACCTCTAGGGGTTATCTGTGTACCCCTTCGGTGTTATATACCCTTGTACTTAGCCCACGGCCTTGGACCTAATTCCACTGAGCACATATTTTGCAAATAGTGAAATAAAATCATGTATTCCAACATGTTTTTTGTACGTTTTAAAAACAAATTTCTAGTCTACTTACTAAGGAACAGACAGCAGGTATGGACCTTTGCAAACAGATGTGATAAGGTCCTTCTCTGGGCAAGTGTGAGTTTTATAGTTTATAGGAAAGAGGTCATCAAGTCCAACTGACCGAAGACCCTTATTTTAACTTAGAGAGAATAAGATTAAAAGATTAACTCATTTGACTAAGATCAGGGGCCAAACCCGGACAAGTCCTGTTCTCTGGGCACTTACACCATGGCTCTTAGGTCACTTAAGCATGAGATGTTGCTGGTTTAGAAAAATGGACAAAATATACCTTGTTATTTGCAAGATTATCTTCATGTATGTGAGTGTATATGTGTGCACCCATTTCTACGACTGTCTTTTC